TTATTCCATTAAGGGGGGGGGGGGTTAATTGTCATTTTCTCCATACATTTCAACAATCAGAAATATCCCTTCTGGCTGAGAAATGGAAAACCATTTCTTTTATCACTACAATAACAATACTTCTTGACTAGTCAGAAAGAGAACCTACTCTATGCACTGGGTGGGTAGTCAGCCTCCAGGACAGTGGTGAAAACTGTTACCTCTGTTCTCTTTTATTTTGTTTACTAAAGGTGATTCAAAGGCCCCTGAAATCAGTGGAAAGACTCTTAAATTTGAGCAGACTTTGAATCAAACCATAAATGCCCAATCCTGGAATAGGGATAAATTCTTCAGTGGGTCATAGGTTGAGCCCTAATTATGGCCACAGGTTGCTGTTTCCACTGAAGAAAACCTAATTAGAAACTAAAAAAAAATAATTCAAAATCTGGGTTGTAGACGAAATCTGTAGTTAATCTGATTTGAGGGATCCTATGGCAATAGTGGGTGAATACGTAACCTTTCAGATACTGCTCTCTTAAAAATACACTGCAAACAGAAATGTTGTCAAAACCTTTAAATATTTTTCACAGACATCTCCAATAATGAAAGATTTTATTCCATCCAGTTAAATGCAGTCATCTAAAAGAAAACATTTTGTATTTATCAGTGATGTTCACATAGTACTATCTGGACACTGCTTTATATCAGAGAATTCAACTGCAAACTAAATTGAATACTTGAAAAGCACTTTCATTTAGTCATATAATTTATATAAAATGCAACTCTGAATTTTTTATATTTATGATATTGCACTTGTAAAGTTATTTTAAAAATTAATGTTAACATTTCAAATGTTAATAACTTTTCATACTTGCACAAAATGATCAGAATTCCAGTACAATCATTTAGTGTTATAGGTAAAGAGCAAAAGATTTGAAAAGTTCTGTACGTGCATGGTTTTAAGTGTAGGGTCTAACAATCCATTGAAATAGCAAAGATTTCTTTTAGATACCTTTTTTGTGAGAAAAATGTTTTATTTTTAAATTCTGTTAAAATATGTGCATTGTGTTTGTCTTGATGTTTAAATTCTCATTGTTAACATAAATAGAAAATACTTTTCTCCATATGTAACATGCCAATATCTTCTTATGGAGCTACTTTAAAGACAATATTTACACTGAATGGATATTTACTTTTTTTGTTTTCCTGAACAGATTACAGCATTTTTATTTGCAAAGTGCTATTGTGAATTTTCTTGTGCTGCTAATAAGCTGATTTTCTTGGAATCCACTTATTTCTTAAAATTGTTTAATTGTGTTTTCCCCATGTCTAATTTATTTCTAAATTCTGTTTGAAATACTCAAATAAACTTTCCATTTCTTTATGAAATTTCTCATTGTTAAAGTCGAGATATATTCAACATTCTTATAGGCATACTGAGATGTTATATTAATATGCAGCCCATTATTACAGAGTCCCAGTCAGGGATCATACCTGTAAAATTCAGAAGCGTGTCAGACTTAAGTCTAATGGCAATTTTTAGTAGAATCTAAAATGTATTGTGACAGTATTTTGAACTTATAGGTAAGTTATAGTGAAGGAGTACAGCCCAATGGGTAGAGCATGTGACTGGAATTCTGGTGTTCAGATTTTTGTTCCCGGTTCTGGAGTTTGCCACTCATATACTCTTTGTCCTTGGACAGGTCACCTCCGCCAACATTTTCAAAAAGTATCTAATTTGGGGTCCTTTATTTAAGATACTCTTTCAAGAAGTAACAAACACAACTCTAGTTGTAATCAGCAAGAGCTGCAGCTGTGCAGGATCTCTGAACATTAAACACGTTTCAGATAGGCATCCCACACCAGAGGGCAGCTTTGAAAATGTCATCCTTAAGCTTCTCTCTGTAAATGAAGATAAGTTTAATTCCCTAACTCTCTGAGCTGCTGTGACGATGAATTAATGAATGTCCATAAAAGCTTTGAAAACCTTGGGTAAGAGGTGGTTGA